TCTTTCCCTCTGCAGTAGTCAGGCAGATTGTGATCTGCATTTGGCATGTTATGATACAGGGAAGGTGAAACAAGCCACTGCAACTCAAGCACAGTTTTCAAGGTTATGAATCAAATATGTAACACACAGAAATGTCCTGAAATTTTAGGGCTGGAACTTGAAACTCCATTCAGAGTGTTGTTCTGCCAGATAGAGGCTTTGAAAGAGAACAAGAGCCCTGAATGGAGATAGGCACTGTCAGGCTGCACCTTCAGACAGCTGTTTGCTGAAGAAAGGAAGGGCTGTTTAGCTGTAATGGGATTTTTTTGAGAAGCTTTCCATATATATTTACTCTTCCTTTCTGCTTCTGAAGAAGTCATTCCTCTAAACCTTGGGATTTCCTCCTAGAATGAGGATATATTTTACCCCCACTGGCTAATGCAGAAATGTATATTGTGATTGCAGCTACACTGAAGCATCTTGGACTAAAAAAGTTCTTTGCCTAGCTGCATCCAAAAATGTCCAGCTCCTGGTATATAAACCTGCTTCTCCACTTACTTAATGAGAAGCTTAGAGTAGCATGTGGAGACGTTATTCTTTTACACAGTGATGAAATCTTGCTTAACCTTACTTCTGATTTTGCTGATTAATAAGTTTTGATCATCACAGGATGTACAAATATACTTCAAACCGTTTCAAGACCCGTGCAGAACAAGAGGTGAAGAAAGCAGAGCACATGGCCAGGATAGGTGAGTCTTTGGGGTATGCATGTATTCTGATTTTGCAAAGGAAAGGACTGAAAGAGACTACTGTGTTGGGTATGACCTGAAATTACTCACTTCTGCGATCATTATGGTTGCTTAGGAGATAAGTCATTACAGTGACTACAGATCAGTCAGATTTACTTTCATGCAATGGAAGGAACATACGTTTTTTCCTAAGACCACTTCCTATGGAGAATACATGTACAGAATCACCCGTTGAATCACAGCTGTCTGCCTGTGCTCCATGTGAAGCCTGAGGAGTCTGCTGCCCTGTTACCCCACAGTTCTGCTCCCTCCTTTTGCATATCATTAGCTTTTGGTTCTGTTCTCCTGCTCCTTCCCTGTTGAGGTAGTTGTTAAATTCTGCCACTTGATGTTAAGTGATTGATCTGGGTGTACGAGGGAATCCTGTTTTGTCTCTTGTGTTTTTTTTTTCCATCATGACATGTCTTTTATCTGTCTAATCCTCCATTTCTACTGAGTTCTGCAGTCCTCAGGAGAAAACCAGTTTGACATTATTGGATATTCAGTATATAGAAATTACGTAAGCATATAAGTATAGCATATGACTTTCTTAAATTTGCACAAATTTAACATTCTAAGTGATCTCTCCAACCCTTGATGAGCAAATGGTGTAATGAAGGAGGAATCTTGGAAGTCATATGTTGATCTGTATCTCCTGGTAGGTTTCATAATTCAATTTCATAAATCAGTCAGAGGCAGGTGTTGTCTCTCTGTGTGAGAGCTACTCTAGGCATGTGTGCATGTGGTCAGATACACAAGTGATGGTGCCACATCTGTCCTGTGCAGGGTCATCAAGGGCAGCCTGAATTTGACCTTGCCCAAAGCAAAGCAGCAAAATTAAATTGTGTGAATTGCTGTGTTCCCTGTCCCTCCTTTATGAAGTACAACGTAACAAGATTGACTTGAAATGATTAAGTTTAAGTAGATTTTATCCTGTGCCTCAATCCTCATACATGAATTAATTTTTTAGATGGAGTTCTATAGCCAAAGCAGGTGTTCAGTACACACTTGGATTTCCTTCAAGAAGGTGCAAAGAGCATGATTCAGAGAGGCTTCTTTCTTACAGCAGCTCATGAGTCGCTCACAGTGTTTAAAAGGTGAGCTTTAGTGTCTTCAGTGTCCCAGTGTTAAGAACAGATACCATTGACATGGAAACATGAACTCATTTTAATCACCAAAGTTAGCCCACTGCCTCTGATGATGAAGTGAGTACTGAGCAGAGAGCTTTGAAAAGCATGGTGAAAACTCATGGCAGACCTCAGACTGTTTTCTGCAAGATTTGATCACTTAAAGCCTCTGGTGCCAAACTATTCTTGTAGTGTTAACATCAGCTTCAACATCCCAGTTCTCATTTCTTTGCTTCTAGGAAAAATAATTTAATCTGTAACAACCAAGTTCTCTTGTTCTTCTGTTGATAGAAAAGATTAATTTCTTATCCTCTCCAGCATACGTGTTCTCTTGAAGATGCACATTGGTCTTAAGAGGGATCTTCACCAGAGAATGACTTGCAGTTTTCTCTTTCAAACCTACAGGTGTATTGTGAGAAGTGGTTGGTCTCAGCTGAGCTAACCTCAGTTCCAGTATGCTGTGGCTGGCTGCCAGGCATGTGGTAGAGTCCATCATACTGGAGACCTCTACTGAGGAATTGATGAGTCTCTGGAAGTAGTTTATGAGCTTGTTGAGCCAAAATTTATGATATCCTAACAAGAGCTGTATGGAGGGAAAGAAAAAAATTAATGATATGTATATGGGTAGCTATGACTGTTGGTGACATGTCTTTGGCATACCAAAAAGAGCTATAACTCAGGAGTGCATACATACATGTATTAAATACAAGATAAGCAAAAGCCATTCTTCGTTCCCTTGAAACTGATTTCCTGCCTCATGTGATAACCTGTAGGATCTAGATCCTTAAGTGAGTGGATGGACCCAAGAAAAAAGTATCATTCCTGGGTAAGGTAGCTGTGAAAGACTATCAGATGCTGCCTTTGTATTTCTGAACCAAAACTGAATATTGCATCGAGGCATCTGGCTATTGCCTGGTTTCAAGAAATCCTCTTACAAAATTGGAAAAGCAAACAAACAGAGAAAGTGGGGACTTACGTGGGTCATTAAGAGCTGTGTCCTACACTGGGTAGTAGTCTGGAGTATTTTAGTGCGTCCAGTGACTTGCTTGGCAGTGCCATGGGTGTGCCATGCCTGTTGTCCCCTTGGAGGACATGGATGTGGATTCTAGCTGCTGTGTACTCACAGTCCTGCTTGGACATCATTCAGCTTTGCCCATCAGGGCCTCAACCCTCAGTCTTGTAACTGAACTGTTCACTGTCAGCCATGCCTTCTCTGTTGTCATTACCTTAGTGGAGCAGGTTTGACCTGTGCCCTTATGGGTCATTACTGTGTTCTTCCATTTAGACATAGTTGTTTTTAGCTTACCAGCTTCTACCATACAATCTTTGATTTAAATGAACCAGGTGTTTTAAGCTGTCTCCAAACTCCCCTTGTGTTTTCACATTTAGCCAAGCTTTCTCTTGGTGAAGGTGGTCACACAGTGCAGTTCTGTCGTGACATGCTTGATAAGCTGCTGTGAACCTGAGAGCACGCTTCTGTGGGAGTTAGTGAAACAAAAGTCAAAGTTATCACTGTATAGAAAGGAAAGGTACTTTTATTGTAATGATCTAAGTAAGTTGACTGTGCCTATTTATATTCCCATACTTTGCACACTCCAGAAATGTGCATTTCCACAAATAATGCTGACTGTGGCATTGAGGACAGTGAATACTGGTTATTAAACACTGCCTACAAAGTCTGGATTCCTTCTGGCTGTCAAATGAGTGCTGCTTTTTGGAGAAGTGCTTGGTAATTATCCTGTCATCTTCTTGCTTACCTCATCCTCTGTAAATATTAGGCAAGGTTGCTCCTCCAGTGTTTCCTTGTTTCAAGTGTCTCACAGCTGCAGTCTGTTTCCCTGTTGGGAGAGCAGGGTGTGGAGCTGGCTCACAGGCTATGCTGCAGCTGTGCTGCTGCCCTCCTGCTGAGGGGGTGCAGGCTGCTCCTTGCCTTGGTGCAAGCCACACCATCTTACCTTGACAGGCTTGAGAAGTGGGCTTGTGCAAACTTCAAGAAGTTCAACAAGGCGAAGTGCAAGGTTCTGCACCTGGGTTGGGGCAGTCCCATGCACAAATACAGGCTGGGTGGAGAATGGATCAACAGCACCGTGAAGGAGGTGGTCTTTGTGGGTGGTGTTGGAGGAGAAGCTCAATATGAACCAGCACTATGCACTTGCAGCCCAGAAAGCCAGCTGTGTCCTGGGCTGCATCAAAAGCATGTCCAGCAGGTCAAGGGAAGGGATTCTCCCCTTTACTCGGCTCTCGTGAGACCCTGCCTGGAGTTCTCTGTCTGGAGTTCTCAGTTCTGGAGCCCCCAACATGTGGAGCTCCTGGAGAAAGTCCAGAAGACAGCCATGAAGATGATCAGAGGGCTGGAGCACCTCTTCTATGAAGGCAGGCTGAGAGAGTTGGGACTGTTCACCCTGGAAGAGAGAAGGCTCCAGAGAGACCTTATAGCAGCCTTCTAGTATCTGAAAGGGGGCTACAGGAAAGCTGGGGAGGGACATTTTACAAGGGCATGTTATGATAAGACAGAAGGTAATGGATTAAAACTGGAAGAGTTTTAGGTTAGACATTAGGAGGAAATTCTTTAGTGTGAGGGTGGTGAGACCCTGGAACAGGTTGCCCAGTGAAGTTGTGGATGCCCCCTCCCTGGAAGTATCAAGGGCAGGATAGATGGGCCTCTGAGCAACCTGATCTAGTGGGAGGTGTCCCTGCCCACACAGCAGTGTTGGATCTGGGTGATCTATAAGGTCCCTTCCAACCCAAACCATTCTATGATTCTGTGATCATCCCTCAGCACCTATCCATTGCATTTCCAAATTGTGTCTGTGCCTGGCAGTGTGTGCCATTATTTTAATCTGTGTTTTATAATTTCTTGTAGTCATCTTGCATATGAACATTTCCAATCATACATTATTTGTACCAGTTTATTTCTGTTATAACTCTTCTGCAGTCCCTGCAGGCTGTGGTGTTGCTGCATCCTGTTGCTGAGATTTCTGTGCTTGGAAGTGAGCACAGGGAGCGTTGTGGGGCAGTGTGCTCCAGTCAGGTGCTTGCAGTTGGCAGTTGCAGCGCTAAGTTTACCTGCTCAAGCAGTGCATTATTTGCCAGTTCACATTTATCCCCATGGATGTTTTAGCCTGTGAAATGAAGGAAGGTAACTCACTCAACTAGTTCTTGTACAATTGTGAGCAGAACAGGCTTCTGACCTGAAAGGGAACATGACAGGGTTGTAGCCAGTGCACTTTTGGATGGAGAGCACACATACGCAAGGTACATGGTGCTAATTTAACAAAGCACCTTGTATCTCAATTTTAGGAAGGGATATCCTAGCTGAAAATGAAATGTATTTAATTAATCTTAAGCAGTATGAGGGTGATTTGTATCTATTGCCAAGAAATCTTGTTGGTCACTTGGGAGAGAAGTGAAAAGGGGCATTTCTTTTAAGTGGTAAACTTAGTAGTTTTCAGAACACTGTATATTATTTTGTGTGTAGCACAGATTTGTCTATTTTCCAAACAAAATTTTGCAATTATCAAAGGTAAATGCATTTCTAGGAGTAATACTTTCCCCTCATCTCTGCAAGAACTTGTCTTTGTAAGCCCTTTTCAAGCCTGAACTCAGTCTTTGTTTTGTGAGAGCCTTTGTCTGCCTTCATACTTCCAGGCAGAGCAGTCAAGGCCACTTGCATCCTTTCTCCTTCCAGTTCCTCACAGCTTCCTCATGAATCCTCCCTTTAAAGATGCTTTTGAATTTTAACCTGCTATTGTGCCAGTGCTGACTCTGACCTCTGAGCAGGTGTAAGATGCCATGTCAGTGGTGCTTTCTCATCTGAAAGGTTTTATTTTGTACCTTTTTGTGTTAACTTTGTCCCCTTGTACATGTCCGTCCAGCAAAGGCTTTCTGGAAATCTGCCTCCTCAGGTGACTGCTCTATGATAACTCTGTGCTGGCTGGGTGACGTGCTGTTTCTCCTTGTGTTTCAGCAGAGGAGAAGGCTCGTGAGGCAGAGAGTAAAGCCCGTGCCCTTGAGCTACGCCTGGGAGGGGATCTCACACGGGAGTCCAGGGTGAGTCTTGTGCTTTGGCAGCACATCACGTCTTAGGCACTGAGGGGAAATTGAGAGCTCTGGCTTTGAGCAGCACTGCCTGGCCAGCGTGCGGTGTTAGCAATCACTGTGTGGGTTAAGCAGGTGGTGACTTAAGTCGGTCCTGAGTTGCCAGCGTCATTCAGGGAGGTCTGTGGTCTCATTGCCACTGGACTTACTTCAGCACCTACACATGGTTTCCAGCCCAGGTGAGAAGCATGCTGATGTTCCCCTGTCCACAACCTCCAATACATCCTGAGTGGGAAGGCAGCCCCCAACCTCCAGGCACTTGTATTTGATGTCAACCTTTGCTGAAAAGGCGTAGAGAATGTGTGGTATTTGAACAGAAGTAAAATGATGTGTTTTTCAGCTGTTTCCCCTCCCTGCCTGTGCAGCTGGCTCCAAAGCATTTGGGCAGGGGTTTTTGGAGAGGAGCTGTTTGCTTCATCCTTGTGGGGCTGTGGCCCTTGATGGAGGCAAGGCTCCGACCCAGCCCGCCAGGGTAGGAGGAGGACTTTGGAGCCGCCAGGTGGATCAGCAAGTGATACTAGCTTCAAATCTCTCTATTTCCCATGGACATCTGATGGAATCAACAGTATTTGAGTACTCTGGCTGTTGCCCAGTGCTTCCCTTCCCTTACATTCTGGTTTCAATTACCTTAAACAGTTAATTACATTAAGATAGTTTCTTCCAAGCAACTTGGTAGCTGCTTAAACAACCTAGCAACAAGTGCTGCCCTAAATGTGTAAGTGTGCTTGTTGTCACCCTCCACTATTTATTAATACTTTACATTTAAAATATTTCTGACATCTTCTTGAAGGTGGAAAAAAGAAAAAGACATAAAAGTGAGTTAATTTCATGAGTTTCACTGCAGCAGTTTTACTGTGTGATGGCTGTTTGCAGGTGATGCTACGTCAGGTCCAAAACTCTGCAATAACGATGCGCCGGGAGGCTGATGTCAAAAAAAGGATCAAGGATGCAAAGCAGAGGTGAGTGAAGAGTGGTTCAGAGCTCTTGAATTTTCCAGGCTGTTCACTCCACATATGCAGTTGTCCCTCCCACTTTGCTTGTGAGGGAGCAGTTCAGCTCAAAGCTTAAATATTTGTGGGCATCCTATATGTTCTGGCTGTTAAACGAAGGGGATCGAGTTTGCTCAGTCTGTTCTGGTTGCTTCTATTCCCCTCTTACTTGCTGAAGTATGTCTTTGGATTTGGCTTGTTCTCTGTAGATATTTACCTGGTTTTGACATCAGCTTTTTTCACTCTTTTGCTTTTTCATCTGCAGGTAGGATTCGGGAAGGCAAACAAATGTTAGCAAGTTATAGTGAAATGGCTTTTAGAGTTGTAGAGATGTTTTTTTCAAACTTGCTGTGTTCAGTTATAGTCAGTGCTGTGAAATCCCAAGACATTGTTCTAGGTCAGCTCTGGCTGCAATTAATTTCACTGCCAATGTACTCCCAGAAGTATTTCACTCTTTGTATACAGTTTTTTTTGCAAATTTGTCATACACATTTCAGGAATGAAGCTGCAAGCAGGAACAAATGCTGTTAAAACAAATGCGGAGTCTGAGAAAGTTAGGGAAAGTTAGGGATTTGTATATACCAGGTCTCTGTTCCCACCTCATTGTTTTGCATGCTAATTTACATGGCTGTTCAGGTCAGAACTATGCCAAACTTGCTGCCAGAGAGCGATCTAATGAATCTTAAAATGCTAAAAATAAATAAATAAATGCAGCTTTAATTTTAAAAGTGCTAGATCTGTGGTCTGAAGAATGCAGGAACTCTTGTGAGAAACTGTTTTCTTCAGCTGTTTTTTTTTCAGTAGGTGAGTACACATTGCTACTTGAAATTCAAGGCTCTACATCCTCTCCCAGAAGTTAGAAAAAGAAAATGAATCCCTGACATGGATGTTTTGCCACACCTACTCATGCTCTCAAATCACAGTTGTCCACCTGGATGACCTGAGAAGAAAAGTGTAATGTTCTATCCCAAGTTCTATGTTGGCAGTGTTCAAAACACCTCTTGGCAAAGGTTTAGGTTTAAAATTACTGGAAGCTGCTAATCCAGGTGTTTTCCTAGTAACTTATTTTAGTCATATGTTTTAAAAGAAGGTGTGTTACCTGGTACCTATACACCTGTGCAGGGAAGAGGATGACTTTAAGCAGAAAATAAACATGAAGTTAATCTATTACAGGGAATTATTTTGATATGCTCGCCTGTTAAGAAAGACTTACAGCTTATATCTGCAGATTGTTATTGTGCAGTGCTCATGCAGGCACAGCTCAGTTTCTTTTAGTATCATCATAGAATCAAAGAATATGATATTCTGGTATTTAGAGACAGTCAACAGATCATTTTAAAGAATTCCACTATCTTCAACTAATCACTTTTTGAGAAGTTAAATTCCTAATTGAGGTAAAGCACTTAAGTGCTAAGAATTTGATGCGGGGGGGGAAAAATACAGGAAGTAATAAAAAATCAGAGGGGTTGGTAGGACAATGGTATAGACTGTGCCTTGCAATATTTAAAAGTTTGGACCTCACTTTTGATGATAGCTTCGAACTGAAGAACCTCATTATGATAAATCCTTTAGCATGGATTTAATGGAAGCTGTGGAATCTACTTAATTAAGTCTATTAAAGAGCTATAGTTCTGCTTGTGAAACATGGGGATTTTGTTTGATTAATAACACAGATATATAAATCTCTTGAGGCTTTCTGGATTGCAGAAGATACAATTCCTGTTAATCAAAGATTGAGATTCAGAAATCTGTATGTGCTCATAAACATACTTGAGCCCAACTTCTGTTGAATTCATTTGCTGCACAGATAAAAGTAGAAATCATGCAAATTGCTATCCTGTCATCTCCAGGAAAAAAACTCTGCTTGGGCTGTGGGTTGTATCTCCCAGCTTTCAAACCTAGAGTAATTTTAAGCATTGTAAGACTTGTAATTATGAGAACTTCCCCAGATTTTTAATACCAAGACTATAGTTTTGTATCAAAATCTTAATTTCCGTGCTTTATTGCCATCTACAAATGGAAAATAGAAACCAAAATAGCTTGGAGAGGACCAGTCTGTACCTAAAAGTACTTTCATAAAACTAGTTAATTTTTTTTAAGCAGATCTGAAATAAAAATCAGAATGCAATCCTGAAGGAAAAAAAATCCAAATTATTAGATTATCTGAGCAGATACTGTCCTGCCTGGTGTCTCTGTTGCAAAGTTTTTATATTTAGTTTGCTTGTAATGCACATTTATGGTTTTTAGAAATAGCAGACTACAGGACAGGTGTTAGTAAACAAGTTAGTGCTCAAAGCTGCTGGATTTCATATCTTCTGTCTAATAACAGCAAATAATTAGTTTTATTTTCAACATCTCTGAGGCTCTTGTTTCATTCTCTTGCAGAGCACTGAAGGAGCCCAAAGAATTGAATTTTATCTTTGGTGTAAACATTGAGCAGCGTGAATTGGATGGCATGTTCATTTATAACTGCAGTAGACTGATCAAGATGTATGAGAAGGTGGGCCCACAGCTGGAAGGTGGCATGTGAGTTCTCAGCAATCTCTTTGCTTAAGCTTGGCATGTACCTACATATAACTTAGCCCGTGCAAGAACCTTGCTCTGCATTGATCATTCTTCATGAACATGAGACTTACTGGTTTTGTAGCCTTTAATTTGAATTTTGACACATACATTGTATTTTAATATTGGCAAATGTTCACCTTTTTTCTTGTTAGAAAGTTCTCTACACAGATTTTGGTCATATCTGCAGCAGTATGAGGCTTTTGTGCTCAATACAGGCATTGCTGGTAGCAATACTTCCTCTTTCTAAGGACAGGGAGAACAGGTCTTGAAAACAAATACAAAGATTTGGGCCCCCCTTAATTCTTTGCATATCTGATTTTGAGAAATAGTGAATTAAAACAAGTAATGCTGCAGGAATGGGTGGGTGAATGTGTGTGTGAAATCTGGTATTTTCAATATAGTTTTTCTGAAAAACAACCTAGTAGTTTAATGATATTTGTGACTCTGTCCATCTTCCAGGGCATGTGGTGGAGTGGTAGGCGTTGTGGATGTGCCCTATTTGGTTCTGGAGCCAACCCATAATAAACAAGACTTCGCTGATGCCAAAGAGTATCGACACTTGCTGAAGGCCATGGGAGAGCATTTGGCTCAGTATTGGAAGGATGTTGCTATAGGTAATGAAGCTTCACAACTAGCAGTTCTCAGTTCTTAGTAAAGTAAGGATGGGGATCAGCAAACACTTCCACCATGAATTTCCAGTGGGCAGGCTTCGGCCTCTGTGGGGCATTGGTTGGGAGAATCCCTTGGGAGACAATCCTGAAGGGCAAAGGAGTCCAAGAAGGCTGGATGGAAATCTTAAAAGCACAGGAGCAGCCTGTCTCCATGTGTCGTAGGACGAAGTGTTGGGGAAGACGACTGGCCTGGCTGAACAGGAAGCTCCTGGTGGGACTCTGGGCAAAAAAAGGAGAAGAAGGGGCAGACAACTCAAGAGTACAGGGATCTTGTGAAGCCATACAGAGAGAAAATTAGAAAGGCAAAAGCCCAGCTAGAGATCGATATGGCTGCTGTGATAAGGGATGATTAAAAAAAAGTCTTTACAACTACATTAATGTCACCATTTGACTCAGGTTCGACAGCAGTGCTGTCAGTCCCCTTCCCCTCCCACCCAGGTAGGGAAGGAGAGAGAGAGAGAAAGAGAGAGATTTTGCTGGATTGAAAACTATACACAGCTTTAATTAAACACTAATGATAGAAGAAAATATATACAATTATATACAAATGTGTTCAGGTATGTGAAAAAGCCTCTCGCCTCCCCCCACCCCAGCAATTCCCACATGTCACAGTTTGACTCAGGTCCGACAACAATGCTCTTGATCCCCTCCCTGCCCCACCCAGGTAGGGAAGGAGAGAGAGAAAAAGAGAGAGACTTGGCTGGATTGAAAACTAAACTACACAGCTTTAATTAAAACACTAATGAATGATATAAAAGAATATATACAATTATATACAGATATATAGTCAGGTATGGGCAAAAGCCTCTCGCCTCCCCCCACCCCCAGCAACTCCTGCAGCACTCCCCTCAGATTGGACAGTTCCAAGGAATCCCGGAGCTGCTGCTGGAGAAGAGCGGAGAGTGATGAGGGTCAGGAGAGCTGGAGCCTAAGGGTCGACGGTGATGGATGGACGGAGTCCTCCCTGGATGCCGGCCATGGACGGAAAAGAAGGGAAGAAGAAGAAGGAAGGAAGCTGTCTTCTGTGATCTCTGACCTTCCTCTGAGCTTACGTAGATATATGGAACGGAATCTCTCTGGCCAGTTTTGCTCTCTGTCTAACTCAGCCTCCTACGGGGGGGTCACAGATCTCCCTGCAGTGTCTGAGCCGGCAGAGTGAAGGTGCGACCTTGAAGCCTCAGTAATTAGAAAAACATTCCACTGTCTTATCAGCTTTAGAAGAACACACAGTTGCTAGTTAAAAGAAAGCTTACTGAAGGAAAAAAATTCAGTAAAAGGAAAATTGGCTTCATCCTGGCTCAAACCAAGACACCACAACACTCTCCTAAGCTGCGAACAGTCCTGAGAAATCCCGGAGCTGCTGCTGGACAAAGCGCAGAGTGAGGAGGGTCAGGAGAGCTGGAGCCTGGGGGTCCATGGTGAGGGATGAACAGAGTCCTCCCCGGACGCCGGCCATGGGTGGAGGAGAAGGGAAGAAGAAGAAGGAAGGAAGTTATCTTCCGTGATCTCTGACCATCCTCTGAGCTTACATAGCTCTATGGAATGGAATCTCTCTGGCCAGTTTTGCTGTCTGTCTAACTCAGCCTCCTACGGGGAGGTCAGAGATCTCCCCGTAATGTCTGAGCCAGCAGAGTAAAGATGTGACCTTGAAGATCCAGCAGTTAGAAAAACATTCCACTGTTACCAGTCTTAGTTGGAATGCTCTGCTGCTAGTTAAAAGAAAGCTTACTGAAGGAAAAAAAAGTCAGTGAAAGGAGAATTGGCTTCATCCTGGTGCAACCCAGGACAATTAACAATAAAAAGAGAGCTAGGGAGACTCTCCATCCTTAATTTGATGCAGGATGAACACTGCAACCAAGGATGAGGAAAAGGCTGAGATACTTAATGCCTTCTTTACCTCAGTCTTTAACAGTCAGACCAGTTACCCTCAGAGTATCCAGTCTCATGAGCTGGAAGATAAGGACAGAGCAGAACAACCCCCTCATAATCCAGGAGGAAGCAGTTAAGGACGTTCTAATGGCACCTGGACACTGAAATGTCAATGAGGCTGGATGCACTGAGGGAGCTGGTGAAGGAGTTCGCCAAGCCTCTCTCCATCATTTATCAACAGGCTTGGCTAACAGGGGAGGTCCCAGGAGAGTGGAGGCTTGCCAAGGTTACACCCATCTACCAGAAGAGCCAAAAGGAGGATCTGGGGAACTACAGGCCTGTCAGCTTGACTGGGAGAGATCATGGAGAGGCTCATCTTGAGTGAGCTTACTTGGCAAATGCAGGGCAGCCAGGGGATCACAGCCAGCCAGCATGGGTTCAGGAAAGGCAGGTCATGCTTGACCAACCTGATTTCCTTCTGCGACCAGGTGACCTACTGGGTGGATGAGGGAAAGGTTGTGGACGTTGTCTGCCTGGACTTTGGTAAGGCCTTTGACACCATCTCTCACAGCATTTTCCTGGAGAAGCTAGTGAATCATGGCTTAGATAAGTGGACTCTTCACTGGGTACAAAACTGGCTGGATGGCTGAACCCAGAGACTTGTAAATGGGATCAAATGCAGTTGGGGTTGGTCACCAGTGGTGTCCCTCAGGGCTCAGTTTTGGGGCCAGTCTTGTTCAACATCTTTATCAATGGTCTGGATGAGGGGATTGAGTGCAACTCAGTAAGTTTGCAGACAGCACCACATTGGGCAGGGGTGTTGATCCGCTAGAGGGTAGGAAGGGTCTACAGAGGGACCTGAACAGGCTGGATTGGCCAACGCCAATGTTATGAGTTTCAATAAGGCCAAATATTGGGTCCTGCACTCGGGCCACAATAACCCTCCACACTACTTCAGGACTGGAGAGGAGTGGCTGGAGAGCTGCCCAGCTGAGAGGAACCTGGGGCTGCTGGTTGACAGCCAGATGAACGTGAGCCAGCAGCGTGCCCAAGGTGGCCACAAGAAGGCCACCAGCATCCTGGCCTGCATCAGGAACAATGTGGCCAGCAGGACCAGGGAGGTGATGGTGCCCCTCTGCTGGGCACTGGTGAGGCTGCACCTCAAGCACTGTGTGCAGTTCTGGGTCCCTCACTACAGGAAGGATATTGAGGTACTGGAGCATGTCCAGAGAAGAGCCCTCAGGCTGGTGAAGGGTCTGGAGAACACGTCCTGTGAGGAGAGGCTGAGGGAACTAGGGATGTTTAGTTTGGAGAAGAGGAGGCTAAGGGGAGGAGAGTTTTTTGCTTCCTACAACTACCTGAAAGGAGGTTGTAGTGAGGTGGGCATTGGCTTCTTCTCCCAGGTGAGTAACCATAGGACTAGAGGAGATGGCCTGAAGTTGTGGCAGAGAAGGTTTAGACTGAATATTATGAAGAATTTCTTTACCAAAAGAGTAGTCAGACACTGGAATGGGCTGCCCAGGAAGGTGGTGGAGTCACCTGACAATCCCTGGTGGTATTCTAAAAGCATGTAGATGTGGCACTTCAAGACATGCTGTAGTAGGCATGGTGGGTGGTGTTGTGTTAGTGTTTGATGGTTTGGTGTTTTTGTCTCCTGGATGGGCAGCTGGACTCGGTGATCTTAGAGGTCTTTTCCAACCATAAGGATTCTCAAATTCTGGAAGGGGGACCTTTGGTGGCCAGCAGATAGCTAAGGGGGAGGGCAGCCAAGAGTGCAGATGGTGAATTTTGTGGTAATGGCTCCATACTGAGTGGCAGCTTGTTTGTTTTCCAGCCCAGAGAGGTATCATCAAGTTCTGGGATGAATTTGGGTATTTGTCAGCAAACTGGAACCAGCCTCCATCTAGTGAACTGCGCTACAAACGCCGGAGAGCCATGGAGATCCCTACCACAATTCAGTGCGGTGCGTCCAACCAGGCTGGGCCTCCCTGGGGAAGGGAGAAGGGACTCCTGGCTATACTTAGGGGGCAGCTCCATGGGTGGGAGATTTCAGCTGAGTTTTGGGATCATCATCTGCTTCTAGGGCTTGTGTCCTGTGAATTGCCTTTGTCTGCACTTGATGGTACACTTTGCTATCTTGGCATAAGGTTCTTTTCCTGTGATTTACTAACAGTGATGCACTTCAGGTGCCCTTACAGAACAGGACAGGTGTGGCCGGTAGTAATGTGCTTAAAACTTCATATGAGCTGGGCCCAGCCAAAGCCACCCATCCCAACTTCGCTGTAGGCAGTGGAAAATGGCCAAGTAACTTTTTTCTAATGTACTCACCTGCTAATCTGTAGAACGTGTGAGCACAGAAGGGAACCGTTTACAGTTGACTTTCATTTTTAATTCAAGTTCTCTTCTGTGCACCTCTAAACAGCTCTGGCTAAACCCTCACTGGGGTAAGGGAGATCTCAGCACAACCACTTCAGACACTAAGAAGTAGAGGGACACCAAACTCCATTGAACTAATTTTACCTACAGGACTTGGGGATGAGGATGTGGCAAGAAATGTAAGGCCAGTCTTGTGGAATTATTTTGTAAGGCTCTCCTGCCTTGACGGTTTTCTCAGTCCTTTCCAAGTTCCTCCCAAACTGGAGGGACATTTCTGTCATTCTTTTTGTCCTCTGCTGTTGACATCTTCTTGTCAAAACTTGATTTTTGTAAGCTATTGATTTCCTGGTAGGCAGGCAATGCTCTGGAAGCCAAATCTGGCTTCCTGGTTCATCTAAAAATTATTAGATTAGTTTGAGATTTTTTTAGTGGATAAATCTCTGACTTGTTTTGTGTTGACATCAGTAAGAGAAAACTTGACTTCTGAGATGAGCAGTGGTTTCAGGACTGGCTGTGCAGTTTGGTCTGTACGTGCTGTCATTGCAGTGAGTGTGAGGTCCTCTAGTATTGTTTTCATCAGATTGTTGTTATGGAAGCCTTGTACAAAATTTGAGGTCTTTCTCCAAGCATTTTGTGAGCATGAAGCAACAGTTGACTCAGTGTCAACTTACTGTTGTGGATATACTTTGGAAATAGGTATGGTTTTAGGGCATTAAATGGGCTTGTGAAATGCTATGGAACAAAATTATTTTGTGGTTCAGGCTGTACATTTCTGACTTCTGAAGTGTTTGTCTAACAGATGTATGTTTGAAATGGAGGACTCTCCCATTCCAGCTGAGTTCAGTGGAGAAGAATTACCCTGATAGCTGGGTGTGCTCTATGAACCCTGATCCTGAACAAGACAGGTAAGAATCAGGTATTATAAAGACTTTTCTGCAGCATACTTTATCTGCACATTTGGGTTTTTTTCCAGTTATCTTTCTTTGAGAACAATTGGAGGACTAGACAGTAGTTCTGGAGGACTAGACAGTTTTTATGCTGTGCTCACAGTCTGAAAAAAGTAGTGATGATGTGTGTATTTGGAGCTGACATGTTGGTGGGCATTTGTGCAATATTACAAATTAGAGTGCGCCCTCAGCAAGTTTGTATGTCAGACAAAACTGGGAGGAGTGGCTGATGTGCTGGAGGGTTGTGCATCCCATCCAGAGGGACCTGGACAGGCTGGTGGAATGGGCCAAGAGGAATCTCATGAGGTTCAACCAAGAGAACCACAGAGTCTTGCCCCTGGAGAGGAACAACCCCAGGCATCAGGACATGCTGTTCAGTCTGGAGCAGAGAAGGCTCAATGGGATCTTATCAGTGGATATAAATACTTGAAGGCAGGCTGCAAAGAGAACAGAGCCTGGCTCTTCTTAGTGATGCCTGCTGGCAGGACGAGAGGCACAAAAATGGCACACAGGAGGTTCCCTCTGAACATCAGGAAACACTTTTTCCCTGTCACCACGCCCTGGCACAGATTGCCCAGGGACGTTGTGCAGTCTCCATCCTTGGAGATACTCCAGGACATCAAACTGGGCAGCCAGTTCCATGTGGCCCCACCTGAGCAGGGAGTTAGAACAGGTGACCTTCAGAGCCCCCTCCAACTTCAACCAGTGATTTGGTTAAATTAAGTTCCTTTATAGTTTTTCTGCACTGCCACTGGAAATGTGATTGTAGCCTTAGTTTGTGCATGTTAATTTTAACGTAGGTAGCACAGACAGCAATAGAAGAGTAGTCCTAAGTGCGGGCTGTGAGTGGTGTGTTCAGAGGGGTGTTTGTAATTGCCTTGATTGCTCCAAAACATTATACATGCAAACGGCAGCAACATCTCTGAGTTGCAGTGAGCCCAGGAATGACATTTTGCACACTCAAGGGAGCAACACATTGATGTATTTACCAACCTCATGTTTCACAGTTATAAAATATAGGTAGAATCTAGTCAGTTATTTTAATGAGGCAGACAATTCTTGGCTGCTGATGCTCTGTAGAAAGAAGCACTGCCAGAAGCTGATTCTTGCCTTTGCTGTGTAAGGAGAGAAGCTGCTCCACTGCAGTTCAGGTGCCTTGGCTTGTAGACAAAGGGAATAAGACCAGGTGATAACTTTTAATTGGAATAAAAATTTTAACATCTGTGGTTGAAACAGCTACAAAAAAGTATTTCTGTTGATATTTGGCAAATAACTGATTTTCTGTCTTCTTTGTTTTGGCAACTGTCACTGAAGGAATAGCAGTGCTAGTGTTCCTGCTGCTTTGTGTGTTTGTGTCCTGGTGTGGAGCTTCAGAGACTGGAGTACTGTGTTCAGTTTTGAAGCCCTCGACACTGGAAGGACATAGAGCTCTTGGAGCGAGTCCAGAGGAGGCCATGAAGATGATCCAGGGTCTGAAGCACCTCTCCTATGAAGACAGGCTGAGAGAGTTGGGGCTGTTCAGCCTGGAGAAGAGAAGGCTCTGAGGAGACCTTATAGCAGCCTGTGTAGGGATAGGACAGGGGGTAATGGTTTTTAACTGGAAGAGGATAGATTTAGGTTGGACATTAGGAATAAATTTTTTCCTGTGAGGGTGTTGAGACACTGGCACAGGTCGCCCAGAGAAGCTGTGGCTGCCCCATCCCTGGAAGTGTTCAGGGGCAGGCTGCATGGGGCTTGGAGCAACCTGGTCTAGTGGAAGGTGTCCCTGCCCATGCAGGGGGGTTGGAACTAGATGATCTTCAAGGTCCCTTCCAACCCAAACTCTTCTGTGATTCTTGGGCAGGACTGAATCTGCAAGCCCAGGAAGAGGCTGCCACATCTCCAGCCCCCCAGGTGGAAGCAGTAGCAAGGCTGGGAATGTGTTGCTGATAGACACACACACAAACACAGACAGGCCACATGTGTGTGTATGTCTGGCCACGGTGATGGACACAGACAGACATTCACAGCACTGGTGCAAACCACACCAGCAGCCTCATCTTTTTTTTCTCTTGGCTGGTCAGGATCAAGGACCATTAGTGGAAATATGTCTGTATCTAGCCTCTGAATCCCTGTCCCTCTGAATTCATGCACTGAGATAGATGAAGCCCAAGGCTTGCAGCCCCAGGGGGTGAGGGTTGCGGATCTCATGTGAATGTAGATAACACATACACACTACAGTACTCCCAGTGTGTCATCATGGGCATGCAGTCCATCCTGTAGTGCATCTGCACCTTGCTCTTCCCAGGTACCTTCTGCCTCCACCCCCATGCCCCTCCCTAGCAGTCGGGCAGGACTCCCTGGTCTCTCCAACAGTCAGCTCCTGTAGTCTTGCCTGTAGACACCGCCTCCCCTTACTCCTGGGCTACCTCCTTGCTGGCTCATTTGAACTGACATGACTCACACATTGTGTGCACCTGCAGTCACTGCAGCTGCTGGCACCCATGCACAGAAGCCCCTGAAACCAATGGTCTCACTCCAGCTGGTGGCACTCAGCCCCCCATGCATGTATGAGCACACAGAGCAGAGCCTCTTTGCCCAGGAATAGAGTCAGAAGTGGAGCTTAGTACGAAGATGAGTGTACTGACCCACCAACTGACTCTGTTTATATGTCAGTTTATGTACAACTGACTCTTTTTAGCCTTTTATTTGGACTCATGGCTGAAACAGCAGCTGAAGATGACTCTCTGGCTCAGAGCTCCTTGAGCATCACCAGAGTTTTGGTGGTGAGTTGCAGACTATTGTAACTACAAAGATTATTCCTTTTTTCTGACTTGCTGCCTCCAGTAATGCAATCTATGGTTTTGAATCTCATATCTTAATTTTTTCCTGTTGACAGAACTAACGGACTCTCTTATACTTGTGTTCTAAGGTACAGCTTAGCAGTGGTTTCAGCCTCAGTTCATGCAGTGGCACAGGAGATGACATTTCTTTGCTGGGAAACTTGCATATGATGCCACTTGTTCAGCTTTATCTTTGGGAATTGCAGCTTTGGTGTCAGGCAGCCATTTTGCAGTGATGACAGATGCTTTCTTAGCTGAGGAATTAACTGCTCTATGGAAAAGGCCTCTGCAGTGCTTCAGCTGAGAAGAGGCTGATGGAGAAATTGCTCCTTGTGTTCCTTTCCACTGACAAATCTTATCACAGTATGTATCTTGGAAACTGGGGGACATCCTATCATTGGGCAGGTTCTTAATAAAATCAGCTTCTTGGAACTCTGTGTGATCCACTCTGTCTGTCAAGCTCACATTTTGCAGGGATCAGCTGGATCTGTTGCATTGTGCAAGAGTTGTCTGGGTGCTGCTTTGCTATCTCACACCACCCCTGCATGGTTTTGCCTTGAAGGGGTTGATTCTCATGTGTTTGTTCAGGACTCAGTTATGTGACAGAAGATGAGCCTGGCAACCCCTCAGTCCCGACTCCTTCTGGCAATACTGATAGCCAGCTGCTCAGCCAGATGGTGCTACTAGTCCACTTTGATGTGTTCCCTGCCTATGTTCTCTTCCTCTCTCTCAGACTCCTTCAGGATTCTGCATCTAAGAGGATCTGAGGAAGTAGGATATTTGGTAGTGTTTTGTAGGCCATAAGCTGAACAGGATGAGGAATGCACATAGTTCAGAAATATTGCAAAGGAAAACTTTGTGGCCTCGGGCAACAAGGTGAAGTGCATCTTCTGTTGGAAGGTTCATGTAGATGATGCCTTACTTGCAGGTTACTGGTAATGAGTTTCCTTTCTAAATGGAAAGGAGGTCTGTAAAAAGAGGAATTGCTATGAAGACATAAGTTGGTAGGAAGAAAAATTGTAAAAGTCTGGAGTACAAAAACCATATAGAAAACCAGTTGCAGCTGCATACCTAGCTTGCGTGGTAACAACTGTGCTTTTGATCCTTAAATCATGCATGTTTTTCATAAACATATTAAATGTTTATTTTGCCATTAACAGGGTTTTTTACTGCTGCATGGGACATAGAGACATAGGGACAGTGCTGTGTGTGTGAGACAGTGCAGATTCTTCTCTATGCTGAGGTTTCTCACATTTCCTTCATGCTAGATGTGAAGCACCAGAGCAGAAGCAGAAGGTGCCACTGGGAACTCTGAAGAAAGACTTGAAAACACAGGAGGAAAAGCAGAAACAACTGACAGAGAAAATTCGCCAGCAGCAGGAAAAGCTGGAATCTCTACAGGTAAATCTTAAGGTATCCAGCTAAGCACATCAGGTTTGAGGGATGTTTTAGTGAAGATGGCTGATGCTGAGTCATGTCTATCTCAGCCTCTAATGCCACTTATGCTCCTTCATGGGGTAGGGCTTCCTTTTATTAGCAAAATACAAATTTGCATTTAATTTTCTTCTGGGAATATTGGAGTGGTTGCAGGTGTTCAGATGAAGGGATGTCTCATGAACACACCTTCTTGCAATTGCTGTTTTTAAAGTGGAAAACTGTTGGCTGGGCTGGGCGCAGGCAGGCCCTGACAGCTTTTAAGGATGTCATTTCTGATTTATTTTTTTGTTTGTTTTAATAGAAAACCACTCCAGTCCGATGTCAAGCTGACTTGAAGAAGCTGCCTCTGGAAGTGACCACACGGCCTGCAAGGGAGGTAAATGGGATACTGCTGTAGGCTTTGTACTCTTCTGTGCTATCCTCAGCTGCTCTGGAAAGCAGTGCCTGACTTTTCTGTCCTTTCTGTCTCTGTACCCTCACTTGTCTCAGAACACCCAGTCACAGACCCGACCTCAGCGCCCGCGATCTCCACCTTTACCTGATGTAATCAAGAATGCTCCCAGCAGACCACCAGCACCTACACCTCTTCCCAAGTCCATCAGTCAGCTGAAGAAGAGCTCTTCAGCTTGGCCGGATATCAGCACTCCCAAACTGGCAATCGCGCTCTCCAAAGAGGAGGCCAGCACTTCCAGGACATACCAGCACAAAGTGACAGATGGGAAGTTTAATAGCACTTTAAAAACTCTTGCCAAACCAGCTACAACAATGAAACCACCCTGTACTGTCCTGCAGAACCCCAAACGTTCACGTGAGACACCCAGTTCAAAAGCTCCCAAAGTGCCAGCACTAAAGAAAACTGCAATTGTCAAATGCCCACAGGTGAGACCCAACAGGATGAGAACTGTCTGCTCCTAAACTGCTCTTCTGCACAGCCTGTCTTGCTGTGTCACATGGGAGTTGTGTTGTAGTCCCTATGCCAGACAAGAGGACTTTACTTTTGGCTTAGGGTGCCATTCATCACCACTCACAAAGACTTGTTTCCTCTCCTTTGTGTTACACCAGACCATTTTCCCAGACAGAAAGAGTGTGGTGTGGTGGGGTGGACATTTTCATGATTTTGTAGCACCTGCTAAAACCTTCTGGAAAAGATAATTAACTATCAAATGAACACTGGATGCTAAGCATTTTTTTTTTTCTTTAATTTGGCTGAAAGAAGTTTTTGGTTGGTAGCATGCTGGAATTATAGTTAGAGCTTGTTTGCTTCCTACAGGCCTCTACCACCAGGAAGAGGACCTTGAACAACACTACAGAGGATGGGTCTGAGGAAGAGGGGGAACACAAAAAGAAGATAAAACGAGGCAAATTTGTGGCAGTGGAAGAGGAGAAAAAGGATTCTGGTGAGGTGGTGGTAGAGGTGAGAGTGCACTGATTCCCCAGCAGAAGGTATTTTTCAAGTGTTGATAATCTTGTTAGGAGGCAGCTAATCCGAGCTCTCTCTGCTCACAGCTCACTGACAGTGCTGGGGAAGAAGAGCTGGCAGAACTGAAGAAAGCTCAGAAAGGTGAGAAATGAACCTTTGAACTGCCTCCAGTACCTAACCCTGGAAAAGAACTGTTGCAGAACTTGACTCACTAGTTAAACGTGATTTCATTAATGAGCTTTTTAAAATAAGAATTAGTGTAAATTTGTGTCCTAAGCCCCAAAGTGTTACAGACCACCCAAACAAGACGAGGAAGCAGATAAAACATTCTATAAGTGGCTGGCTAAAGTCTCGCCAGCCCTTCTTCTGGCTGGGGACTTCAACCTACTGGACATCTGCTAGAAATATAGCACAGCAGAGAGAAGGCAGGCTAGGAGGTTCCTTGAGTGTGTGGAAGGTAACTTCCTGACACAATTGGTACGTGGACCTCCTATTCACACAACAGAGAAAGACTGGTGGGAGATCTGGTGGTTGGAGACCATCTTGGGCTTAGCGATCACTAAATGATCATACTTAGTGCCATGGTCTTGCTGATGTGGTGGTTAGGTCGTAGACTAGACTTGATAATCTTAGAGGTCTTTTCCAGCCTTGGTGATTCTATGATTCAGTGATTCTATAAATGGTTAAGTTTTCAATTCTTAGTGGTGTAAGGACGGTGGTTAGCAAAATCTCCACCCTGAAGTTCAGAGGGAGGACTTTAGCCTGTCTAAACCAGGACACTGGTTGAAAGAGTCCTTTGGGAGACAGTCCTGAAGGGCAAAGGGGTCCAGAAAGGCTGGATGCTCTTCAAGAAGGAAATCTTCAAGGCCCAGCAGCAGCTGTCCCCATATCTCACAAGGTTAAAGGGCGGGGAAAACAGCCAGCCTGGTTGAGCAGGGAGCTTTTGCTGGGACTTACGAAAAAAAGAGGGTGTACCACCTTTGGAAGAAGGGACCGGTAACTAATTAGGAAGACAAAGGCCAGCTGGAGCTCAACTTGGCCACTAACACAAGGAACAACAAAAAAAGTTTTTATAAATACATCCACAATAAAAAGAGCCAGGGAGAATCTCCAACCCTTGCTGGATGCAGGGGGCAACATGGCAACTGAGGATGAGGAGAAGGCTGAGATACTTAATGCCTTATTTGCCTCTGTCCTTAATAGTCAAACCAGCTACTCCCAGGGTCTTCAGCCTCCTGAGCTGGAAGATAAGGATGGAGAGCAGAACAACCCCCCCATAATCCAGGAGGAAGTAGTTAATGATCTGCATCTGCACCTGGACACACATAAGTCTATGGGGCCTGATGGGGAAGAGCAACTGGAGAGCTGCCCAGTGCAAAAAGGTGCTGGTTAACAACCAGATGAACGTGAGCCAGCAGTGTGCCCAAGGTGGCCAAGAAGGCCACCAGCACGCTGGCCTGCAGCAGGAACAGTGTGGCCAACAGGATTAGGGAGGTGATCATGCCCTTGTGCTGGGCACTGGTGAGGCTGCACTGTGTGCAGTTCTGGGCCCCTCACTGCAGGAAGGATATTGAGGTGCTGGACCGTGTCCAGCGTGTCCCCCTGGCTGGTGAAGGATCTAAACGAGTAATACGAGGATGGCTGAGGGATGTTTAGTTTGGAAGAGTCTGAGGAGGGACCTCATTACCCTGTACTGGAACAGCCTGCCCAAGGAGGTGTTTGAGTCACTATCCTTGGATATCTTCAAGAAACCTGTAGATGCAGAATTTCAGGGCATGCTCTAGTGGTCGAGATTGTAGATTGGGTGTTTGTGGGGATTTTGATTTTGTGATGTGGTTCTGCGTTTTTTTGTTTGTTTGTTTTTTGTTGTTTTTTTTTATGGTTGGACTCAGTAATCTCAGAGGTCCTTTCCAACCATGACCATTCTGTGATTCTGTGACTCTAACTCACATGAAACATTTTGGCCAGGAACACCTCGATTAGACAGAATGCAGATGTGGCATTGGAAGGTCTGTAGTCTGAGGGCTGCATCACATTCATGGATGTGATGCTTGGCTGCGTGGTGCAGACTGATGTCATGCTCACCTTTCCTAACTGAATGGCTCCTGCATCTGTGTTAGCTGGGAGGTGCTGAGAACTGTATCTAGACCTGCTGTGCTGCTGGGAGAGAAGAGGGGCCAAGTGACCCCAGGAAGGATGTGCCAGCATGGCACTTCTGCCAGAGCAGGACATTTCTTCTTGTTCCTAAAGAGCCTGGAGTACAGGAGAAACCTTCTGTCTAAAAATGCCAGATTATTTGCTTGCATCCTAATTTTTTTAAGTAGGAGTAACACTGTGTGACAATAGTGTTTTTATGGTTCACGTAGCATGGGAAGGAATTTCCAAGGGTTTAGGTTTGCTGCCTGCTGAGAGTGGCTTTCTTCTCCAGAGATGACACAGAATGTGCTCTCTAGCATCTGAATGTTTGCAAACATCTTGACTGTTGTCCTCGTTGCAGATAAAGGGCTGCATGTGGAAGTGCGTGTGAACAAGGAGTGGTTCACAGGCCGTGTCACAGCTGTGGAGACGGGCAAGCGTGCGGTACGCTGGAAAGTGAAGTTTGACTATGTTCCTACAGACACGACACCAAGGGATCGCTGGTAACTATCTCTAGCTATGGGATTTTGGAGGCTTGGTTTGCTTTCAGGAGGAAGACCCCATTGCACTTCCACAGATGCTGAAGACAAATATGTCAGGGACTATGTGTGTGTTCAGGACTGTCCAGATGCTTCTGAAAGAGTGAGCATGACAGAATCCATACAGTCTGTCCATCACTTTGATGTGGTCTTCCTGCAGAGGCAGCTGTGGTGTGATCTAGAGGTCTCAGTAGCAGCTGGGTAGAGGTTCTGATAAAGCTAACAGTGTTTCAGGCCAATCTAAAAAAATATATCTCACTTTCTCTTAATAATTTTTTTCAGGGTAGAGAAGGGCAGCGAAGATGTGAGGTTGATGAAGCCTCCCTCCCCTGAGTACCAAGCTCCAGATACACAGCAGGAAGAGGAAGTTGTTGTGGCTGAACCTTCTACCTCAGACTGTGTCAGAATTGAACCCGACACCACAGGTCCCAGCAGCAGCCAAGAAACAGTAGACTTATTAGTTCAGATCCTTCGGTGGGTTCACTGCAGTTCTTGTGAGCTCCTGCAGTCTGGTATCTTTAGTCTTTTAAACTCCAACTCTGGCTTTATGGTTTTCTTTCCTGCACAGAAATTGTTTGCGGTACTTCTTACCTCCGAATTTTCCTATCTCCAAGAAGGAGCTGAGTTCCATGAGCTCAGAAGGATTGTTGGCATTTCCCTTGGTGAGTTCAATATTTCTCAAAAGGTTTGGGACTTTTCCCCACAAATGGTCCAGTCTTATGACAAATATGCATCCTGCTGATGCAAGATCACACCCTCGAAAGGGTTATTTGGATCCTTAGCAGAATAATGTAGCTAAGAAAAAGAATGAGCACCTCTGACTTAGGTTTTTTGACAGTTGTTGTCTGAGCATTTTTTAAATAACATGTGTGTGGGAGAGCTGTTGGCTGCTACTATTGTAACTTCTTGTTTATTGCTGTTCAGCTTTTGCCCTCAACCTTATGAATCTAACCTATGCAGAGGCAATCTAAAAAATGGGAGAACATGGAAGCCAACTCCCATCATGTCCCTCCAGCTGAGCAAGCTAACTGCTTGTGAGTCAGCTGTACATCTTAAGGCTTTTGGTGGGGCCTCCATTTGTTTGAGCAAGGAACAGATGGGGTTGAGCCTGCACCAGTATTTGTGTGGTAATAATGGAAGGTCCAGTGCAGGCGGAAATGCAGAGAAATGGTACTGGCTTCTCTGACTTCTCTCTTCTCTGCCACACCACAAAGGCAGACCTTTTCAGGAGACATCTGTAGATTATGAAAGCCACCTACAGCTGACCAAATGACAAAAGCCACTGCTTATTTGGTAGTCTTCAAAGTACCCTACTCCCTCACTTGCAATGTGTATGTTGGCAGTCTCTTTTTTTCTCTCTGTTAATTCAGGTATCTGCTTGAGTTACTGGTCCTGCTGCTTGTGCAGGACACATTGGTCTTGTTTGGAGCTTTCTGCCAGTGTAGATATTCCTACCCAGTAGTAATAAGCTGTGTTGGATGGGTGGTCTATGCTAAGGAAACTCACTGCATACAGAGGCTGTCAGATCTTTCTACAGCATAATTGTGATTTTAGGCTTTTAAAAACATGCTGCATCTTTAATCTGAATTCAGGTGGCTTTTGTTGCAGTTCTTTTCTGCAGTTCTGATCTTTGAGGAATGTGAGAACCTGTGTGACCTTTGTGCTGCCTGAAGTATGCAAATCAGAAATGTAAATGTGAGCATGGTAATGACTGCAGGCAGGACCTGCGGGGCATGGTTGTAGGCTGGTGGTACTGGTACTTGTGCTGTTCTATGGGCTGTGACTGCTGGGGTTTTCTTGATGCTTCGTGCTGCTTCTTAACATTTCATCTCTTGTGTTTTGTCTTCTACAGAAAGAATATTTCAAACAGTATGAGGTAGGCCTGCAGAACCTGTGCAAGTCATACCAGACACGTGCTGATGCCCGGGCCAAAGCCTGTGAAGAAAACCTCCGTGACTCAGAGAGAAAGCTGAAGGAAACAGAGGAGAAGCTGCAGAAGCTGAGGACTAACATAGTGGCCCTTCTGCAGAAAGTGCAAGAGGTGGGTGAGGAAGGGGAGTGAAATCTGAGCTGCCCAAGTAGCAAGCTTCTTTAGACCCTTCAGGCACTTGAGATGTTTTGATCCAGTGTTTAACTGGGCTTCAGTTCTTTCTCAATTGGGTGCAACTTGGGCTCAGACTGTGAGGAGCAGTTGCTGCTGTTGGTGCCTTTGGGGCTCCAGGCTTTGGGGAACCTGAGGAGTGGTAATTTTCACAGATGGATTTTTCATGTCATGTACACAGTGCACTACTTCTGTTTGTTTTCTGCTTTCTGCTATGAAACATGGGACTGCAGGAAAATTTCCCTGGGCATAAGCAGTGAGTTTTTTCCCCCTTCTTGGCCAGAAAGGTGTTGGTAGATTCTGAACCCTATGTAAACCTTTAAACAAATAATACTTAACATTAAAATTTCACTGTCAAATTTATTTCTTTATTATTCTATTAGGTATTTAATTAAAATAGCAAATATATGTTTGAATAAAAGCATGAATTAAATAAACTTTGAATAAAAAAAAATACTTCAAATAAAATTAAGACCACCCAATGTAAAAGCTACTGAAAGCAAATGGCAGCAGTTGCTCACTGCTAGGAAACTGTGTTAAAGCTAAAAAAAAACAACAAACCTAACTTGACCCTGATCAGCACAGTAAATCTATTGTTTGAGTGCATTGTTTGAGCATCGAGTGCTGACTGGTTTCCAGGCTCTGGTTGTCCATTAGGCTCTGGCAAGGAAAGCTGGTGGTGCTTTCACAGCAGATGCAGCTGGAGAGTGCTGGAAGTTGTGGTGTAAAGGCTGGTCACTATCAGCCTTGCAGAGGATGATGTGCTCTGTCTTGTCCATTCTTGCATTGGTCTTCAAGATTCACTTTTCACTGTTATTTTTTATGCTTTTGGTTTCAGGATATTGATATTAATACAGATGATGAACTGGATGCATATATCGAGGACCTGATCACGAAAGGAGATTGAGCAGCCCTAGCAAAGTCCTACAGAAGTACAGAGGAGCTGGTTGCTGTGCTGGGTGATGTGGATTCCTGCCGTGGAGGACTGTGACAGCTGATGAAGAGAGAAGGTTTTTGGACAGTACTTCAGTTGTGTACAGCTTCAGTGTACAGCTTGTTCCTGTGACTTTACATTAAAAAGCCATTTGTGCTGTTGGCAGCAGAACTTTTAACATTGTAGTTCTCTGAATCTCTTCCCTTTGTTTATAAATATTTATTTTAAAAAGAAATAGGAACTCTGCCTGACAGGATGGTAGAGTTGCTGTGTATTTAGTGAGGTTAAAGTGTTTTTTTGCATCTGGGATATATTAATATACTAAACCTGGAAGACCAGAACATCCTGCCTAGCAGGTTGTCTTAAGTAAGAACCTAGCAGCAACTTAAAAATAAGCCTTGAGTTACAGAAGAGGGGGATCAGTACTTACACTTCCAAGATACTGAACTTGGGCTAGAGAAAGTGAAGTCAGGAATCTGAGCTTCATAGTGGAGATCAAAACACAGTCCCTGCATGAGCATGAGCGGAGGGGGTGAAATCTCGGTCGTTCTGAGGAAGTTGATGGCAGGGGATTGCCAGTGCAGTGAGATTCCCAGATATGAGGTCTCCATATGCAGGTGGAGTTGTCACCGTTTAGAAGAGGATGACTTGAGGTGCTCGCAGTGGGCTGTGATTGTCCGAGACAGAAAGCTGAAGTTGAGGTTCTTTTCTAGCAGTTACTTTATTGCCCAATTTTGCTGCTGTTTCTTTGAGACCCAATTGCAATGGCAGAAGAACTCCTTTACCAGCTGAAAATAAAGTGACCCTCTGTTCTGTTGTCAATCTGTTTGCTTTGCTTTGATCAACTTACTCTTCCAGGTAATTTCACTAGAGTTCTGGAATTTGGAGCCTTTGAAGTGCCCTACTGTGAATCACTGATTCACATCTGGTCCTGGGTCAGCAGCAAGGATGACGCCTCTGCTATGTCCTCCTCCTGGAGGCTGCACCGCAGCTCCTAGCAGACCACCTCCTGACTTGGTTTGAATTTGCTGGCTAGTCAGGTTCTCAGGTTTGCTAGGACAAGATGGTCATGAACTCAGTGCTCAGTTACTGATAGGTGCCCAACTTCAGGAACATCAAATTAAAGTGTAATAGATGTTGTTAGGTTGTTTTTTTTTAAAGTCCAAATTAAACATATGTTGCACAGATAATCTTAAGCACTAATCATTTATAGCCTGGGGAACTCCCAAGTTCTACATGCTGCAGGAGAGAGGGAAGATTTTGCTTATTACCTGCAATCCACACCTTGTCACAGTGAGACTGGCTGCTCTCATTCAGGATCTGGGCCTGGACATCCCAATATAATTGGATGTAAGGAGCTTCCCAGTCATCTCCATTTTCTTACACATGGAGGTTTTGATAATTGTGATGGCACAGTGGTGCTTCAGATGAAAATGATCTTTCTATAGAAGCTGAGTTTTATATTAAGGTGAAAGTAGAAATCTTTGTCATTTCCAGGTGGCCAGCAGAAATTCTAAAGAACCAGATTTCAGTAAAATACAGTTCAGAGATGCTGCTGTTTGCAAGCTTTTAGTTTGTAACATCCACAGTGTACCAGTGTGGGACAAATAGCTCTTGCACATTTCTTGAGCTTCCTGGCCCTGTCCTTGCTGTGCTGTTAGGAAGGTTTTTTCCTGTGTTCTCTGGCAGCTTCTAATTTCCATTTTTAACTTCCTTTTTATGGCTTTTAATTTTTTGATCTTGTACCCAAGTATTTTCATTTGAGTTACATTTCTTCCCTGGAATTACTTTCAGCAGTGCAATTCATGTGTTCTCTATAAAATTTCCATTTTGTTTGGAAAAGCAACCCAATAACTTTTAAAGTTCTAATAAAACATTCTCAAAACCTTCCTCATAGTCCTTTTCTGGAGCTACTTCAAGTTGGTTTTTAATGTAACCTTCTTAGCTAGACCTGTGTGTAACATTAGGTTTTAGAAATGCCTTTAAGAAACAAGAACAGAATGACCTCTAGGGACAAGCAGGGTCCACTCAAAAGCTTATCACTTTGTTCAGGAGGCTGCATCACTTCCCTGCAGATCTCTTGCCTGCTGCAGTCCTGGTTAGACTTTCATGCTACGTTTAAGCCTGTTGATACCAATGTGTGTTTTCAGTTCCCTTTAGTCTCTCTCCACTTCCAGCTGTTTCTTACAGCAGAACTACTAAGAAGTACAGGTTGCTTTTTCTACAACATAATATTTAAGTTATTATTTAAATTACTGGTAATGTTGCTGATTTATGTATTTATTAATCAGGCAGGAAAACAACTTTTGGGTCTCATGGCAACAGTTGTTCCAGGCCAACTTTGATTCACCCTCTTGCTTATTGTAGCACATGGCCCTCTGGGGCTCCTGTCAGCAGGACCGTGATTGTCCTTGCTGCTTCCATTGTTGACTGCCAGCCTTACCCTGAACCGGAGGTGATCATCCCCTTCCTACAGATCTGCACAGTTTCCCTTGCAGAGTGGAACAAGGACACTGTGCCCATATATCAGTCCTAGTGTGAGGAACAGGGTCCTGCCTGCACATCTTTGAAGGATTGTGTATTGCTGCTGTTCCTTAAGTGGAGGCTTGAAACTCCATGTCACCAGTATCAGATCCAAAGTTTGGTTTTATGGCAACAGGATCAACATTTCCCTTTTTTTTGCAAGCCCCATAGCAAGGACCTTTGGGTGGGGGACCTATGAAGGGGTCTCTGAAATGCCCAGGAGGCCATTAAAGGGTAGGTGGGGCAGTTTAAGAGGCATATGTGGGAGGGCTTAATGAGCGAAGGGGTGTGATTAGGCGTTAACTGCACCACAGGCTCTGCCACCCTCCCCCCCTCCAAGTCCCTGCTCCAGGCCCTGGCCCAGGCTGTGCTGCTGGCGGGGGCTGCGCTGCCCCCCTGCCCGGGGGCACCCACCTGGTGCTGCGGCTGAGGTAGCAGGAGGTGGGGCTCGGGGTGTGGGGCGGAATGAACTGGGGGGCACTTGTGGGGCTGGGGGAGGGACTGTGGAGGCACTTGTGGGAGCAGCAGGAGGGGCGGGGCTCCTGGTGCTGCTGGGGCGGGGCCAGCGACGCTCTA